TTTTTTTTTTTTTTTTTTTTTTTTCAAGGCAGAAGGGAGTAATTTCATTACATTAGGGCATCCAATCCATTATGAGCTTTTACCGTCATGTCACTGAAACAATTTCATTAAGCTAAAGGCCTGTAAATCATTGGAGGTCACTGTGCTGCCCTCCGTGACCTCCCACAATGCCTTTTTTCTTTTACTGGAAGTTGGAGTCCTCTGTCCTGACAGTACTAAATCTCCAGGCTTTATCTACCCAAGAGCTGTGAGAGTGCATAGGGAATATACCAATTCCAAATTAGACTCAACTAATCTAATTTTATAGTCTTTTTATTATTCTAAGCACCAAATGTCTGTGGTGGTTCGATGCCTCTCTGCATTGTTACTGGTCCCATCTGGTAGCCCGTTCTATTGAAAGATTTCTGACTAAATACAGATTCTGTCTAACTGCATCAGGGAGAGCAATCCAGGGACAGAAAGGATTATACACACGTACACTTAAAACACTATTTTTCTTCAAAATGTGTAATTTAATATTTGGATGGTGGAGTTCTCTCATTTGTCTCCCTGCATACACGTGATTTAAACATATTTGACGATATATGTGGATACAGCAGTACAGCTACATCTGCCTCACTCAGAAAATTAGTTATAAGTTGAAATTTAAAATTAAATTATTACATTTTCCGACACCTGATCCTTTAAATTTTCCACTTAGAGAAATAAAATTATGCAACTACCCAAGTGTAGGTACAATATCTGCATTTAATGAAAAAACAGATGCAAGTTCCCAGCTCTATTATGCTACCCCTTGCACAGCATTTACTTTAGACTTGGTGAGGCAATGTCCATTTGTCCTGTGTGTGTAAAGTATCATGAATAAAAACACCAATATTATTGGAGTTTCTGGTTGCTATTACAAAATATTAAGTATATATGGAGAGGTAGGAAATATCTTGTACCTGTGCATAATATTTTTGTATAGTTTTATCAACTTCTTGCCAATTATTTGCTGCATCTAAGTTTTAGTCTAAGTAGACATTTGTCCCAACTTTCTTATTATAGACATAAAAGCACAGACAGAGCACTACAATATAAAAACAAAACAAAAAACAAAACAAAGCCTCTTTGGGGTAAAGAGCAGAAGGCAACATAAAGGTTTAAATGTAGCAACTGAAAATAATCTTTATGTACCCCTTTAAAGACTGAGTTTGCTCTAACACTGAACATATTTGAAGACTATAGGAAGGTTATCCTTTGTGTTGTAGTCTAGTCTCAGTGAACATCAGGTTTTTTTATGATTTAAAGTGTATGAAAACCATACACACTATAAACTCTACTAAAAAGCTTAGCAAGCATAAAGCCCAGATAAGGTTTCCCATAGTTCCCATAACTTTGGAGAACATGCTGGACTTGGCAAACCTGCAGTAATGTCTCCTATGCTGACAGATACCAGGATGTACAATCATCAAAATGGGATTTTTCTGTAGCATAGGAATTCACACAATATATATATATAAATAATATATATATACGCATACATACATACATATATATATATATTTCTTTGTGTTCCACTTCTCCAACCACCTAGCAAAGATGCTAAAAATACTGTATTTTTGACTGCTAGGGAGGACCAGTGTCTTCTTCTGAGATCCCCATTTAATTCTGTGGATTGTTAAAAATTTGTTGCTCAGACAGAAAGGGTGGTGCATTTTAGAAGCATAAACTTAAGTGAGTTAAATATAACGCTAGTTGCATGACTAAATACTTTACACTTCAGTTGGCTTTATTAAGCATGAAGTTGGCACATAGTAGCAGGACAAAGAGAAAGCAGGTGCAACTTGAGAATCACCTCTCTTTTCTTCCACAGGAAGTACTATTTAATGCCTGTTTTTATTTGAGTTATATGATAATATTGATTTTTCTGCCAAATACACTAAAATAAGCAAATAAACCCAGTGTGATAGTCACAAAGCCTTCTGACTAAAGGGCTTAATACGTGGTGTACTGGGGTTTTTTTGTTGTGTTTTTTTTTTGTTTGTTTGTTTTGTTTTAAACAAAACCCCCTACTCCTTGATTTCTTTTGAAAAAGTGTAATGACAATTTTAAATCATATTTCTGTACGTCCATTTATGTTTGCAGGACAGTAAGTAAATGAGGAATGTATCCATCAGAGATACACCCTGATTCTATGTACCCCATCATAAATTAAATCTGCACGGTCTCTGGAAAACATCCACACATTTACTGCTTCTTTGTACAGAGCTCACATATCCTGATATCTATCATGGCAAAACATTCACATCTGTGTTTAAGCATGAGAATTTCTTCCAAAAGGAATAGAACTGTTAGATGTCTTAAAATTATGCATGACTGTTTTTAAGACCCTTCACCTCCCCATTTATTTCTCAATGTGTAAAGATGGAAATTCTATTTCCTTGCATCTGCACAGCACCCTGGTGAGTGGTTAAGCAGAGACTAGAGATTTGAGAGTTTAAAATCTAAACAACGTCTTCCTTCCAAGAATATGTGTTAGTTTAAAGTTTTGAGAAAACTTCAGGTAAAGCCCTACAGAAAGGCAAAGACAGGTGTTCAACACATAATTTTTTATGCATGAAGACAAAATAAAAATCCTGTGTTCTGGGCCAGCAGCCAGATCACAAGCCCAAACCAGGTAAGCTGTGCATGCAGCTCTTCAATGTGCAGAATAGGCATGCCTAACATTTGTTGAGAACACTTTACCTGACTAAAACTAACCATATGCAGAACAAGTAAAATTTCAACTTGAAAGAAAAAATAATAAATAAATAAAAGGGAAAAAAATAATCAGCACTTCAGAAAAGCTGGCACATATACTTCTCCTTGAGGAACATGCAACACTGCTCTCATGTCTTCATCCCTGCCTTCTGAACAGAGCATCCACACACACTCACAGCACTGCTAACATGGAGCACGGCTGCCAGAGACACAGATTAGCTGCTCCAGGCTTACAGGTAAATTTAACACATGGTCTCAGCCAGCAGAAGCATTTATTCTGATTTAAATGCCATCTCTATTTGTCAGTGTTCATACTCTTTCTAGAAGATCTATTTCTCTTCAATATTACAAACAGGATGCTATGCATTGAAGAGTGAAATGCAATATTGAAAAAAAAGGCCAGACAACACAAACTCAAATTTAGGACACAATTTTAAAATGGACAAAGGCAATTTCTATACCTCCATTTACTCCTGCCTTCGGAAGAAATACAGTACTAAGCTCAGACCTTACTTAAAACTGCAAAGTGATTCAACTGCTTCTGAAGAATATAAAGGATCTAATGTAGCAAAAGGGATCTTCTGTACTTACAAGAGGCTACAGAATGAATGAAACCACAATAACAGAGCTGTGTGAAATAGCCCTAGAACAAGCATAGCACATTGTAAGAGCCACAAGCCAAGGCATGGACAAGTAACTCTGCCAAATTTTGAACTTCCAACTTTTTGCTAAGCTAGGTAGATAACTAATGTTTATTTGAGTCAAAGTGTTTGAGATAAATGCTGGATCTCTCATCCATTAGACACAAAGCAGTGGACTTGGGCTTGGTGACATTGTCAAAAGGGTTCTTGCTCCAGAGTCAGTGAGCTGAGATCCCAGCCTAGGAAGCCCAAGAGCTCGTGTGTGTGATTGAATTACCTACTCTGACCTCACCTAAGAGACTCCAGAGATCAGAGATCTCCATAACAGGCAATTAGCAACCAGACAAGGCTAACAAATACAAAGCAGTACTAGAACAGAGCAAAACACTCAAGCAAAGGAAATATTAAATGGATACATGGGATTTAGAGGAAGTGTGAAACAGAATAATGTTTATAAACAATGTAAGAGTTTATAAAATTATTTGGAGAAAAAGGCATCTTTCATATGATAGAGCTATAATATTTATTATAATCTGACTCTAACCATGACTCAATAGCTAGTCTCAATTTTTATTAAAAAGCAGGAAAATCTCATGACTAAATTATATGCAACTGATTGATCATTGTCTATCTTTAAAATTGATGTTTGAAAGAAAAAACCTTGACACAACTCACCTTTTTATGAAATGAGAAAGAATGCTGCATTGTAATAAATTATATCACTGAACAGTGTATGGTTTGGCAAAGACACCACTTTAACTGTTTAAAACACAGTTCCCCTGGCAGAATATAACTCTGGCTTATCCATTTAGATTTATACATTATCTATCATGCATGACAGCTAAACTTCAAATGCCATTTGGAAGGAAAAGAATTTTCCAATGTTGATATTCTTTTGCCATTTGAAATAATCCTTTAAATACTGAGACTTGGAGGTTTTGCTATCAACAATAAGGAATATTTAGTTTCAAATGCATTAGAAAGATAAAAATCCCTAGCAACAAAGCTGATATAGTTTTGTCTTGTTACTAGATTTAAGATTTAAAAAAAATACCCCAAAACTGTTCTAAAATATGAAACAATTTAATTCATCCAGGGTGAGATTTTTTCAAAACAATCTTTACTAACATTAAAAGTTCATGTTTAAAACTCCATATTTACAGTAGCAGCATTTTTTCTTCATAGTACATCAGTTAACCTGATACCATATATAAGGGCTTTCAGTAATTTGTCTGCAATTAGCCATGCTCACATTTCTGAAGAAGAGGTTCTTCAAGCATCAACATTTCACAACAATGAAGTCTATAGTCAATGCTTTGCAATTTATTTGTTTCAGTGAGGGATTTTTTTTCCATTTACAAACATGATCATTGCCACCGTAGAGCTCAAGTGTTAACCTGGT